ACGCCAGACTACCGGTGGGGAGGAGGTGTGGCGCCGTGCCAGGGCTCCTGCTTGCTAAATACCTTTGTTTCGGCTAGCGGGACGGCGGCCCCGATCGCAGGTAGTCGGCGCGCATCTCCCTCAGCCTCGCTGTCTGGACGTTTAAGATAGAAACAGAAGTTGCATCTCGCAGGAAATTCCCGTTCCTCTACACTCGGAGACGAGGGCGCGAGTACCGGAGCCGCTAATCAGGATAAATTAAATTCGAAAAGACAACGGATCTTCAGAAGAAAATAAAACTGGGGCTTCAAAAATAAATTTGTGCTACGTTTTTTTTTTTCTGACACCTCCACGCCGACCACTTCGCAAAAAAATATGAAGAATGAGGGTGAAAAAAAATCTTCCAAGCTATATTTTATGCTCGAATGGATCATTTGTTCCACGTTAAAGTGAAAGCAAAATATAATTCTCTAAACTGTCTCTGTATACAGCGAGATGGGTTATTTTTAAAATTAAATTCAAAGCAGAAATAATCTCTCTCCCCCTCTTACCCACCCCAGCCCAGACAGGCCTGTATCATGCAAATCAAGGCTCAAGATGTGAAATATTCAAACTCAAGGTTGTACAGTATAAACTGGGCTTCAGTTCATATAAACCGTAACCCTTCAAAGGCGGAACTATTTCTCTCCCCAGCATGTAAGAAACTGCTCTCTCACACACACACAGGCCCATATTTAAATAATCCAAAATGCAAGGAATATTTACAATTAGAAACATCTGAATTTCCCTTGTAGGGGATGCTGTGGAGATGCTCGCCAAAACGGATGGAGCTCCAGTCTGACAGACAAAGAGAGAAGTGGTCTATGAGGCCCCCCCGGAGGACCATCACCAAGCACCCCCGCCCCCCACTTGGCACACTACCACAGACAATGCCACTGAAGCCGCCAAGATGGAGGGGGGCCTTGCCGACGGACGGCACCTCAAACACGAGGGGGCCACGTGCATCTCTGGTGCGGAGCCGCGGGCTGGGGGTGTGAGCGGAGCCTGGCAAACGAAGCAAGCGTGCCAGGAGAGGCAGAGCACGGTCGCCCTCCTTCAAAGCGGGTCAGTGGAACAGTGGCCAGGCTGCTCGGCACGGACAGCGCATTCTGCAAGGCTGAGGAACCGCGCGGCTCGGAGCAGTACTGTGAGCGGTACTGGGAACAGTACCAGGAGCAGTTACCAAGAACAGTACCAAGAGTGGTACCATGAGCAGTACTGAATGCAGTATCAGGAGTGGTACCACGAGTGGTACTGGGAATGGTACCAGGAGTGGTTACCAGGAAGAGTAATAGGAGTCGTATCAGAATTGGTCTCAGGAGTTGAACCAGCAATGGTACCAGAAGCAGTACTGGGAGTCAGCAGGTGGTACTGAGAATGGTACCAGGAGCAATTAACAGGAGCAGTTACCAGGAACAGTACCAGGAATGGTACTGGGAGCAGTACCAGAGACAGTACCAGGGGTTGCCAGGAGCAGTACTGAGAATGGTACCAGGAGCAGTTACCAGGAACAGTACCAAGATCTGCTACCAAAAATAGTACCAGGAACAATACCAGGATCTGTTACCAAAGTAGAACCAGGAATAGTACCAGCAGTGATACCAGGAAGGGTACCAAGGGTATTTACCAGGATGATTTACCAGGAGCAGGCTGGAGAGAGACAACTGTCATCTGACCACAGTCCTTAGCTGGTTACCTCAAAAAATCCCAACCTGGAAGACAAACCCAAAGCCAGTCTGGTCACTACTGTCTTTGCCCCCTCCAGCACTGTCCCCTGCTACCCCCACACCCCCCTACCCATAGACAGGCACGCACAAGCAGCGCTATGGCAGCCCGGAACCAAACTTCCCACGTTAGCAACGGCAACAAAACAATCAGCAAATAAACTCAGCAGCTAAATGACCGCATAACTGATCTCCATAAAAACCCTCTGTCCAAGCTGGCCAGTGTGCAGTATTCATTTGTGGTCCAGGATTGGTTGGTTCTCTGATAGCTGTGGCTCAAAGTCAGATATAACCTCATGTCCACTTTAAAAGCCGCGAGTGCGGTCAACGCTGGGGGGCGCTGTTAACCGCCAGTCCTGCACATAAATACGTTAGTTAACGAGAGCGGTCGAGTTTCACTGTAGTCAGGGAACAATCAAGAGAAACTGCATATATACACAAAACCCTCGTTCAAATCTCACAGTGCCAAAACACGACAGAACAACTGAAATCAGATTTTGCACCAATAACTTTGCAACTTCCCAAACCAGGTGAAGCAAAGGAACTTCACAGGTAGTCTCATTTACAAATGACTTATGAAAAGCTCATATCTGAGGAGAAATTAAACGGCTTTGCTGTCGGCCATTCCCGAAACGGGCGCGATTCTGTGCACTTTTCAGACGCTCCCTATTATACCAGTAACGTGTGCAGCAACATGATACATCAGCAGCGAGTCCCGAGATTTGGTGTAATCCTGCTCACAGATTAACGGGCATGAATTAATGATGAGTTCAGAAGTCGACTTGACTGAACCGTACACCGGAATGGCTGAGCCGTGGTGCTGGAGGAGTCATTACTCCCCCCCCCCCCCCCCCAGGCTTCCTGTAATAGGCCCCACGCTGAGGAGTCGGGCTGGCATGTGACGGGCCGCCCATCATCACTATAAACAGCGACGCTCCACATGCAAATGGGCTGTTACATCATCCGTGTGCTGCTGCATAATTACCCGTAAAAGCAGGACCGCGGACCCCTGACGGCCTGCCATCAGCCCCCTCCCCAACCCCACCGCCCGGACCCGAGCACAGGTTGGATCCACCGGGAACCATCACAGCAACGCTGCACATTTCACTCCCCTTTCGTTCCTCTTTATTTCTGGTTAAGAGCCAGTGTCAGACAACAGCATGACAGCAGACAGCAGGCTTCCGGAACGGCAAAAATCACATCCCGACAAACCTTCCATCCAGGCACAAATCGCTCCCCCAGTGCTAATTTTTCACATTCTAAAAGCATTTAAAAAAAAATAACACCAAAAACTCACTCCCATAACTAATGTAACCAATAGACACGGGGGGGTTAACCCCCGAAATGGGTAGCCACAACACGTAAAGGGAGGGGGGGGGGGGGGTCGCATTCCTACCACGGGCCTCAGCCTGTAGGCCGCTGACAAATCGCCAAACAGACGTTTTTATTTTCAGCCTGCAGACAACCTTGATAAAAAGATCCAGAGGCTGAAAAAGAGTCTCAAGTGGAGTACGCAGATTCAGGACCTTCTATAAACGCCGAAGCACAGGGTTCAGACCAAGTGCTGCCATTGATGTTTTATAGCTGAAATAAGTGACGAGTATTATTATTATTATTATTACTCTTATTGTTATTGTTGTTTGTTGTTATTTCACATGAAAGAATCAGCCCCATTGACAGAGCTAAACCGAAAGAAAAACAGGTGTCTGGTTTAAATAAGTTCAAACCCCCTCCAAGATGGCAAACAGGAATCAGAAGAGAATGGAGAAACTCTGTCAGCGTGCCTCCAGAAAGCCGATCTGCGGGGTCGGCGAGAGACTGAGACTGCGTTTACACCTCACGTAAGTGTGGACGTGGCCAGTGCAGACTCAGCCAAGACGTATCAGACACACAACGGAGGCACTGAGAGGGTCTGACTCTAATGAAGAGGGACCACCCCAGGTCACACTCCAACTCCACACATTCCATCGCTTTTTTTTTTCTTATTTTAACAGACGGCCAAGGTGCTTTTTCTTCATTCTTTCATTACTTCCTTTCTTTCTTTACACTTTCCCAGGTTTTTCCCCCCACGCTTTATTTAGTTGTTGGAAGTCAACTGCTGGAAGTTCTACGTAATTAAAATAACCAGGAATCAAGCTAACAATTAGCGGCGTCAAGATTCTCAAAATAAATTGCTCTTCTCCGACAACCAAAAATAACCAGATTCCTCTTCTCTCTGCCGTTTCAGAAGGGAAGCAGAAAGTCCCGTACAGCTGCACGTTGATAGGAATAAGATGTGGCTGCAGGAAACCAGAAAGTAATTAAGACACATCTGTTGGAACCACATGACAGAGGCTGACTACCACCGTAGATGTTCTTCATCACACGGCTTAGATGGATGTTGGACTCTCCTGCCACACCACCCATTTTCCCTACTATGTGTCCCTACATGCTGGACTTTTAAAGGTGGGGAGGGGGGGCAGCTCACAGTCCCCCGTCACTCCTGTGGCCCCACCTGGTCACAAAGGGCCCAACCAGGGCCACCAGTGCCATTTGGCGACATTAGTTTATTGCGACTTAACCCTAACCTTTCCATGATCGCAGCAGCTACTCGCCAGCTGTTTACAACAACACCTTGCATTCCGGAACCGACAGAACCTGCACAGATCCATTCGATGGCAGCTGAAAACGTTGAACGGATTGACAGGAAATAGAGAGGCTTAGAGTCTTAATAGTAAAAGGCTTAGACCAGGTCCAAGAAAAAGAGCAGACTGTGCTTACAGAGACTTATCGTATTATTGTTGTTAATAAAAAAGTAAGTCCTGTCAGAAAGAGCCAGCAAGCCCCCATTAGTGCTATATAATCTGTGTCATAACTTGGAGAAGGGTGACTGGAAAGTATGAGCTGGGGAAATAAGACACTTTTATTCTGGCTTTCGTTCTAAATAACGGTCCAACAGCCGTGACGTGCACTGCTAGCACCTTAACCACACCGGAGCCGTGGGTCTCCTTATCGCCCTGCACAGGAAAGCAGCAGGGATGGTGTATTAATCAGGTACCGTCTCCCAGACTCAGGCGACGTGTGAGATGGTCGCCGCTACTCCGTTGGAACCCCACAGAGATGCACCGTGCCCTGGGAAAACACACGGGCCTCGCCATGCCGGCAGGTGGCTCTGCGTTTGGGAGCGAGCAACGACCCCCCCACCACCTCCCCATGGCCAAAAAGCAGGGCCGGGAGGGTGACAGACACACAGACACGCACAAAATAAAAGACAATTACCTGTTATGTTTTCCTGCTTAGGGCAAACTCCTCGGGAGGAAGTGGACAAACAATCGTCATCTTCCGGCGTGACTTGGATTCCCACCTCCACGGGGCGGGGGGCCCTCCGGGGCTCACTCTGGGGGGGCGACTGTGGCCTATCCAAAGCCTTGTCCAGGCACAAACTGCTGTTGCATTGCTTCCTTTTGTGCTCAATAAAAATGAGGATATCTCCCAGGGGGAAGTTCATCTGACACTGGCCACAAGTGAGGAGATCTTGATCCCCTTCCGGAGCGACGAGCACCCTGTGTTCCTGCTGCTCCTCTTGGATGGGGGCAGCCAAGGGCTCTGCTGTGGAGAGGGGGCAAAAAATTTAATAAATAGGGGCTACATTACAATACAGTGCACATCAAAGCAGAGTCGCGGGTCGTCTACGGCTCGTGGGTTCGCTCCTTTTGAGAAGTAGGCATCGCGCGTCAGCATATCCAGGTGCCCCTGGCATCAGTTAAAATTTCACGCATTCAGGCCTGGCCTCTCCTTCAACTTTTTCTTACACAGATACAAAATTCTTTCAAGAAATAGCAGCAGTGAGGTGAGGGCGGGCCTGCACTTCCCAGTAAAAGGAATTATATACAAATTGTCATATGATTAACATAACAAACTGATATTCAACAAAAAGCTACATTTATTTACATGTGTCAGCACAGTACATTCTTGTCTTTTATCTTATCTGAAATATAATAAATCAATAAAACAGTCAAAAGATTTGACTATAATAAATATTTATTACAATTAGCCCAGAAATAGGATGTCTACGATAAATGTTCCACTTAATGTAGGTTTTAAACGGCATGGATTCGCCTACTGATATTTACTATATCGTTCATCGGGGAGGAGGAAAAAAAATAGTAAAGACGGTTAAGCTGGTCTTCTGTAGGAAACGCTCCATAATTTTACGCCAACTCCTAACAAGGCCACAGTAAAGGGCACCTGAGCTGGAAACAAAGGCGCAGGAAACAAGTATGCATCAGTGAACAGACCCCCCCCCTCCCCACCCAAAAAAAAAAGACTTTTACCCCACTACTTTCACTTCGTTTTTCCCCTCCATCCTTCACTTCAACTGAAATAATAATAATAATAATAACAAGGAAAGACGCGTTGATAAATCGAAAATTCTATAATTATAATACAAATAAAAACATTAAAAATACTCTAGTGAATACGCTTGATTTTTGTTTCCTTCATAATCACTTTCACAGCCGGAGCCCCGTGTTCAGATAACCGCGTGGCTGTACAGTCGGCAATAGTCTACGTCTTATTCACTCCGAGATTAGGACGTTAACTTTGTGCAGTTCATTCAGCGGCACTACAATGCGGACTCTTCAACGTCAACGACGGTATTTAAAAGACAAAAAAGGAGTCTAAAGAAACGGCACAACCTGTGATGATATTTAGCGCCGGTCGCCCAGAGTCAAACTCACTCCGTACGCTTTCTAATGTTTAAATAGCTTTGACCTTCTTTATTATGGTGCCAATTTCACATTTTAATGAACCTAAAACCACTGAGGATCAAAAAATAGATTCTAATTTTACATCGGGATGATTGGAATACATTTCGGTAAAAGTGCTGGGATCTTGTGAACTGAGGTTAAATTTATTTCAGCACAACCTAGACCAAATATTGAGGGGCGTATGTGGAGTAGTTCCCAGACGTGCAGTGAGAAAACATTTCGAAGTGCGATTGTACGCGACATGTGCGCACGATCTAGGACGAGATAGGATGACATAGGATGACATAGGATGAATCCTCGCCGCTGTTTCTACCCTTAATTTTTAGTCGGGTCAGACATCGTGGGACTAAACAGCATTCCGGCGCATTTCAATGCATTAACAACAACTGAAAGAAAATGCCGTTCTTATGATCACATCTGTAATCCTGTTTTTCCTCCCCCCACCCAAGAAAAAAGGATACCAGCTTTTGATGTTGTGCACCTTCTCATTTTTGCTCAGTTAGGCCATACTGGTTTGTTTTTATACGCGTCCGAATACGAAGGAGATCGAATCTTGCCAAGCTATACATTTACTGAAATAACCAATCACAGATCGTGATTTACATTAGGTTCGATCTATTTTATTACAATATTTCTACAAAATATATGTTTTGCAGACATCCAGAATAACAAATACTTCTGGTTTAATTTTTCCTCCACAAAAAACAAATTCAGATCCAGCACAGCTGTTTCAAATGATTAAGTATAACCTAATGCGGATGTCCGTACGTATATTCACTTCACAAATTCAAGGTTCCACCGATTCACCCATCCCCCAAATACTAATTCAAGGAAAGCACACAGAGAAAAGAATATCTGAAGCCAATGGGTAAGTTAGGGGTACATCACCACTTCATTATTTCAGTCCTTCATTACTGTATTTCCAGAATATTTTCGAAGCCTAATTTAAAGGTATTTAGTTTTACAACAAAGTAAGACCTAACTACCTTTTTACGAGTTTTACTTGCTAACGTACGTTTATTATAAGAGGAGTAAAACGCTTCAATGCTGAAGTAACACACCAACTCAAGTATAACAAAATACAAGTTTATTTTGCCATTCAACCCATTATCTTTAAACGTTTTACGACTGAGCCACAGATCGACACAGATTAACATTCCCTGAAAAAAATGTGTTCTTTAGGAAAAGATGTAATTTGTAATTTGCAATGACTAAATGAGAAAATGTAATTAAAAAATACTAAATCTTGAATAAGCCGCGTTTATAAGTTTTTAAAGGACGGTTAGTCAAAATAGGAATTTAATTATTGCGCCTATGTTGTTGTTGTTGTTGTTATTATTATTATTATTATTATTATTATTATTATTATTATTATTATTATTATTATTATTACTTGGCTATTAGATGAAAATCATTTGAACATATTAAAGTTAATAAGTTATAGCGTTAATGTGATGTTGATAATTTCATGAAAATTTGTTTAACAAATATAGTTTGAAAGCCGCAGAATCGGAGACGACGAGGGGCTTAAGGGATCGGGAATAAAAGATCCCAGCTCCCTATTATACGTTCCCTTTCAATCCAAACACAGAGTGAAGACCGGCCGATCGAGGCAGCGGTGAAATTGATCAGGTTCACGTTCATTTCCAGTTTATGATCGTCTTCTGCCTCCTAGCGGCGAGACTGAAATATAAGCCAGGTCTCTGCGAGCGAGTAGATGCGGTTATATACAAGAATATCACCAAAAAAATAACTGAGAAGCTGGACATTTGTGTGAATAAACGATATATCACAATCTAATAGCTTCAGATGCGTCCAGAGAGTGCCGTTTCAAAGAAACATAACATATGGGTTTAAGTCTATCCAGAAAATTAACGCTGAATACGGAAACTGTTTCATGGAACCAACAGATCGTCCTTAGTCTACACGCCTATAGCTTAACGTTAGAAAAACGTGGGTGTATGATTGCAATTGACGCTACTATACTAAAGTAAAGTGGCCCGTGATCTCCAGTAAACATACATACTTAGTATCCGTGCATATTATATCGAGATGAAGCAATAACCGTTTCATGTGAAAAGTCAGCTATATTACAATGACGAAAAGCTTTTCGGCGTACGACCCGAATGCACACACTTTATCTTACCTTCATGGTTTTTGTTTTGTTTAACTGACGAGAAACAAGTGATCCAGGGAAGCAAAATACTGCAGAAGTCTGCGCTCCTAAGTCCTGGTAAACGAACGCCTGCCGATTTTGCAAGGCGGTTCTTTTAGATCTCTAATTGCAAAAGCGACTATAGTTTACGAATTAAAGCAAATCTGTAGAGAAAATCTAAGGATCGTTATACATTTCATTTCTCCACTATCGATAGGGCTGTCGCCGAGCCATACACCACGCACCGCTTGTAAACAGTTGGACACGAGATTTTTCCCAATCAAAATCCACTTCAACTTTTTTTTTTGAAAATCTTCCAAAAAATGGTACAGCGAGGGGAATCCTCTCTAGGCGACTGTGGCAGGATCTTGAATCCGACACGTTTGTACCATTTTACTATCGCAGATCCTGCACGCTACCTTTGTCAATCACCTACCTTACAGTATATGCCCGTAAGTGGCTTGCAGCAGCGGGGCAAGAAAGTCATATAGCCTATATATATTTCACCTTGCAAAGAAAAATCCCCCTGGAAAGTACTCCGAAATGAAGAGCCTGAATGTTAAAAAATAAAACTTTTGCGGGTATTATATGGAATTGCACTTGTGTAGGTATTAGCAAAAAGAATATACACAGTGCGTGCTTCTCGCCGCGATTTTCAGTTAAGTCCACTTGACCACGATCCTTGCCGTCCAGTGTCCAAAACCGCGTCACTAATAATTACAGTTATAGATAGTATCCACAGAAGACACTAGGCTGCGAGCTGGCAGAACTGATTTCGGAAATTGTGTAAATAATTTTTTATCATACTTACGTGTAAACTCCCGTTTGCTTAAGTGCTGGGGTTTGCCTTGCTTGCGGCGAGACATGGTGGTTACTAGTGGCTTTCAGCGCGGTTCACATCGGGAGAGCCGGGTTAGAAGGCAGACTCCAGAGGAAATATCTTCATCAATGCCTTTGACATCCAAAATAAATTAGAAATAATACAAAGATGGCGCGGAGAAGATGGATTGTGGGATAGCCGTCATGGCTTTTTTGAAAAGAGAGATGAAAAAATGGCAAAAGCCCCCCTGAGCAGCAAGTTCAAGTGCGGACGTGACGTCCCCGCGAACTTGAACGTCAGGAGATGGATGGACACAGACATACAAAACATGGGCAGGGCAAAGCCGGGGAGTGGGAGGAGGGAATGGAAATAAAAAAACCAATGGACACTCATTAGGGGCCGGACATGAAAAATAGACCCATAGAAACCAATGGACAGAAAGATCAGGGGGCCGGACAAGAGGCAAGGGGGGAGAGAGATAGCGAGAGCAGGGGAGAGGGAGACGCGAGAGAGAGAGAGAGAGAGAGAGAGAGCGAGAGAGAGAGAGAGAGAGAGAGAGAGAGAGAATGGTTTAACGAAGGAACTATGCATTGACCACGGGAGGCAGTCGTAGAAAAAAAAACGAGAAGGCAATGTACAGGCATTCAAGAAAGAGACATATTTTCGTGTATGTAGAAAGGAGGGGAGGGACAGGTGAGGAGGCAGTTCATTTTTTTTTTTTAAAAAGAGAAAAAATACACAATGTCTAGGAATCCGGACCGGGAGTATATTGTTTTAACAGACGTGCACATTCGAATAATTCGTGATGTATCGCGTTTTCTTTTTTCTTGAAATGGAACTGAACGAAAGAAACAAAATACGTTTCTTGCACAGGATAAATTGCTTCTATTTTGAAGAAAGTCTTAATAGTGTTAAAGTCGAGACAGCGGGTGTATAGACACAGCCAATACGCCACGGGAATTCCAGGAAAAAAAGTGTGACTATGTTTAATATCCGTATGTTTGTGTATTCGGGCACGCGTTTGTGGAGGGTGTACGTTAATGCACGTGTAGAAAAAAATAACAGCTAACAAAAGCACCACCTAAACAGATTTAACACTGACACCTTCTGGGAACGCGAGATGGCATCATCGGGATTGTGAAGTGGATGCGGGGGGGTGGGGGGGCACTACCGAACTAATGAAAGTAGCTGACGTATGACTGAGAGATTGGCAAGCGAGCAACTAAATTACAAGGGTGAATTGCTTTGAAAACGTGTTGAGACTCGCACTGTGACTGCTCGGCGGTGAAAGGGGAGAAATCATGAGAATCACAGAAGGAGATGTTCGGGACAAGAAGTTCTGTGTCGAAGAGGAAAATACCTGTGAGTGAAAATATTTGCTAGGTCAAAGTTCAATTGTTCATTTTTGGGTGGGTGCGTGGTAATGACTTTTCATTTTTTGGTCGCCGATTATACATTTATAATTTAACACAGTTGGAGCTACATTGAAAGATTTAACAAAATCGTAACCTTAATAAAAATTTAGGCTATAGTTTATTAATTTATGTATTTTTAAGTAAACGTCGTAATAACATAACATTTTAACTCGGTGCTTTGTTTTGGCTATATATATCGTTTATGATTTCCAGAGGCATCAAATTCGTTAAAATTATTTGTATCAAAACAGAAGCGTCTAACGTTGAAGATGAACCAGATATAATGATCATCTTTCTGAGCCCTATCAGGGAAGCGGGCTAAATATCGCCTTGGAGAGTGATACATATTTAATCCGCGTAGTGGACTGCGGTCATGCGAATGAGGTTTTTTTATCTTCTCCATTTAAGGAGAAACTTCCTGTGCAACGTACTATCAGACTCATTCAACTACTGTTTCTTCATGAAACACTTATATATAAGAGCAACTGCAAAATTATTAAATATGGAAACTTATGCATAGAAACATACGTATAGCCTATATGGCACATGGCAAATTATATTAAACAGATATGCCAGACAGCACAAATGGACTTTTTATAATAAATTTTAAAAACACTTTTGTCAGATATTTTATGATTTGTTTATTCATTATAGTCCATGTTTCGCTTTCATTTGAAGACCATCGTGTGGTGCCTGTTTACAGTTTTTTTTAATGCAAACGCTTTTTCAAATTTAGCCGTGTTCAAAAGCGTTGTTCCTGCCAACAAGACAGCCCGCCGGAGCGCATTCTTTGTGGGGCCCTAACGCGAATTCGACATGCAAAAATTACGTAATTAAATTGAGTGGCTGAGGTGCTCCTTGAAAACGGCAATATATACCAGATTAAATGAATAACGCTTCTGTACATTAAAATCACTGCTTAATGGTTTGACTCAATAACCTTGACTTCTCACTGTGACACACTGTTAGTCTCAGGGAGTGTCTGAAAATAGGATTTACACTCAGATACTTTAGCTGAAAAGCACTGTCCCCTGGAAACGGGGATAAACTTGTAGAAATTATATATTTTTTTCATTATTTGTAAATACAAATACATTTTACTAGAAACTAGAACCAGTATATTTGTAGTATATATAATAACAGTCTCTGTGGTTTACGCATATTTCATTTTCCTTTGCATAATTATATAGGCTACTCTATATAATTATCCAAATTATTTTAGCGATCATCTGTGGACGATAACAGGGTTAGTGGTATAATTACTATGTGTCTTTTTTATTCGCGTAGAATGCGAGGAAATTTTCATTTGACGTCCCGGATGACTGGTCGGTACGATTATGTTGTCGATCAAACAGCACGAAGTGGTAAAACCTTCAAATCATTCAAGACTGTATCTGCTGTCCGCCATAGCAGCCCTTTTAACCTCTAGCAACCTTCCTTTCTTTCCATCAAATCCGCGCTTGACTCACTTTGAGTAGGTAAACATAAACAGTGACGTGGTCACTGTGACAGTTTATTAATCCGGAATCCTCTTCTAACCAAAGTGAGCAGAAGCGATACGAGGCTACAACTCTGAGCCTTCCTCTGCACGACGGAATCCGACATTACGTTAAATAAGCAACTTGCAATGTTAGCGTGTTTAAGAAAAAATACGGGTCGTTTTTTTAACAATTCATGAAGTGTACGCCCCCCTATTCCTTAAATCAGGTTCATTATATTCCTCCTAATCGCGCCCAGAGTAAAACATAGATGGAACAGAATACTCAAAGATATTTTAAATGCCACGATTACTGGTGTAATATAACTCCAGTGTGCTTGATACCGAAGTGGACAATGTGACATTTAAGAAGAAACTTCTTATTTACTTCTTATTAATGTACCTAAAGATTAAAGGAGTCCACACTAAAGAAGTACGTTGACTCTCACTCCTTAATTCCGAATATGTGCTTTAGATTTATTACGATGAGTTTTTAAAGGTTCTTACCTGATAATGATAGTTTGTGAAGTAAATACGGACTTTGTTACCTAGCCCAAAAACCATTCAGACTTTTCTAATGCTTCTAAAATAAAGTCAACAGATGACTGCTTAGACTGAATAAATTTGTGGAGAGATCCATCAGAAGGATGTCTGGCAGACCTACGGACTGTTAATGCTGGTACTGTTGAATATTCTACTTAGAACGTAAACTGATGACAAAGGTTTTCGGGTATCACACACATCAGTCTAATTTAAGTAATGAGCCAGTCGTGTGACCTTGCTTACCTTTACCGCAAAGTGAGGAATTTCAACAGCGCCATTGTCATCTTTACAGTCACTGACAATCCAACATACAGCAATGTCCCTGACATGATCACATATCTCTACAGAGATCGGCATCCGGACAAACTCACGAGTCCATATCGCGTTCGAGTTACCTTCACGTTACTCTAAAAGGGTCATAGGCTTCCTGTTGTGTCACAATGTTGTGATACAATATTATCATTTTATAGTAATGAAGATTTCGCACTGTAGCCGAGAAAAAGATCGCTGCGCTTGACTGGAAGCCATGCAAAAGGGACTCTTTAGATAAAGACAGTCCGTGCTGGAAATATCGGCAGGGTTTTTGAAAAGAAATAATAATAATAATAATAATAATTATTATTATTATTATTATTTAATAGACATTCACTTTTGTTTCTTTCTCAATTTCTTTATTATTTAGTGTTTCCATGTTAGCTGCACCCCCCCCCCTTAATAAGGTTTACAAATGACATTTGCGACAGTCTAGTTCGCTGGTTAAGGTTAGTAACAGTAACAGAAGTTTAGCTAAGGTAGTAATGCAGACCAGTTCTGACCTGTTGAGACCAACGAATAAGGACTACTCCTTTGGACCTCTAATTCATAGATGTAGCGCAGGCAAATTCGCAGATCGACGCTGATTACACCAAACACTTGAAACACAGCCAAACACTTCAATGCAGTGATCACCTTTCTGTCAGGAATAAGGCATGCCCTATTAACAATAATACGAAGTTATAAGAACGGTATTTGGCATTTACACCACCGCTAATTTACAGTACTTTACGTGGAAGTATATGATACATTTTAAAAGAAAGTTATGATAGGAGAAATGATTAAACATAATCTAGTCTAGGAATATATCGCAGTAACCTGTTGGTCAATGACGTTTAGGAAATAGCCTAAAACTGCATCCAGAACTACGGTAAGGTGAAAGTATAGACCTACGTTTACATCATAAAATGTGTTTCATGTTTTTCTCATGGGAAGCTAAAGCACATAACAGACTGCGAACAGAGCTTCTTTCTTTCGTCTTTCACTGTACAATCTTGTTGACAAATATACTGGTCAATATACGGCGAGCGCTCAATGCCGTAACTGTGCTCCAGACCACTTCAATTTGTTTGCGGCCGGACTTGAGCACACAAGGCCCCATTGAAGTAGTTTGGACTGAAACGCGGACAGATGGAGAGTGGAGAGGTTAGCTTTGCCAAACCCCGCAGTGACCTTTCTGGGGAGAATTAAATCACTCTGGCCTCGTCGCTTGTCCTAAATTACAGCCCTATATCCCCCAAGATGTTACTCTCAATGCTACCGCCCATACATTCCTTTCTCCTGTCCGAGGTATCCGAAAGCTACAGGACGAAGACATTGCCTCACTGGGCATTTTATTGGCATCGTAAGGTCCGTGGTGGCTAACAAGATTGCGATGCTTCATTACCGTCGCTAGCCATGATTAGTACAAATGTTGTGTACTGGCGGCTAATACTGGGCGTATATCCAAACAGAACTTCATTTGGAAGTGAATTAAATTATCCCGTCTATAGCGTACGCTCTGGTAAATGTGTGTATGAACGACCATTGACATAAATATACAGCTTTGCCTCGACTTGTGCTCGCACAGGACGTGGGAATTTGGCCTTAT